AGTTTTCATTGATATGTTTGGAGTACATACCTGCCCTCTTACCCATAGGAAGCACTTTTCTAAGAAGCCTCCAAGTGAATGTTTGAACTCTTAGTGCCATTTGCTTATCCTCCCACACTTGATTAAGAAGGAAAATGACCCTCATAGGAACAATTTTGGGCCTTTACCTTGGTGGAAGCTGAAGATTGTTGAAGCGGTGCTTGTAAGCAGTTTTGGAAGAGAATTCACCTGCAAGAGTTAGTTTCCAAACCAAAATATCCTTACCATTCGCATTAATGATAGGAGTTTGCAGAATGGTATTAGCCATTTCAGGAGTGAAAAGATACATAATCAAGTCTGTATTCCAATTCTTTTGACATGGGATCCAAAGATCTTTAACTTGAGCTGGATAAGAAAAAGATTGTTGCTGAATGATAAGATGATCGTAAATAGTTTCCCAACCCACACACAATACATGTACAATACACATGGAAACGGAAACCTAGACATAGTCTAATATAGCAAAAAATCGACGTGAATAAGTTACCTAAATGATTACGCCCACACGTGTGGCACTTGTCAACATGGCCCAAACGCAGTCGATGCCGTTCGATTCATTTGCAAGAATATTGAAGCAGTTGCCATCTGGGTTAAGAGTCACGTAAGAACCTAGCGTCGTGTGGGTGTTATCATTTAGTGCCACACGTGTGGGCGCTCCTTGCCCGAACGGACACACAATGCTCGCCCGAACGTGTGGGCACGGTGATAGATGGCAACTACAGTTGTGCATATGTGGCAACTACTTAATTACACACGGTAACTATGATTGAATACATGAAAACTATGGTTAACCACGCATGACAACTCCAATTAGCTACACACTATGCATATGTGGCAACTAGTTAATCACACATGACAATTATGGTTGACCATACATGGCAACTATGGTTTAACCACACATGACAACTTCAATTAATTACACATGACAACTATATTTAATGATACATGACAAGTATAGTTAATTACACATGGCAACTAAAATTGATTACACACGTGCTCGGGCTCACGAGGTGGGGGTGAGCAGTTACCACACATGATCGTGTGGGCCATCGTAGCTGCGCATGTACGTGTGAGAGTAACTAATTAATGAGCGCTCCTTCGGGAGCCTCACAACGATTAGCGCCACTTGGTGCGCTCCCAGCCGCCCGCCAATTGTCGCGCTCTGGACACTCCCTCTGAAATTTGTCTTTTCTTTTAATTTTTCTGCACGCGTTTTCGACTTTTTAAACGGGGTTTTCCGGGTTTTTTCGATGTTTCGGTTTTCCACTGGTCTTCTTGAACTTTTGGACAATTTTTTTCATGAAAAACGCGTTTTTTCTTTCTTTCGCGAGAGTCATGGTTTTGCTACCACGAGAGGCTCGGTTTTGCTTCGCGAGAGTCATGGCCGTGCCTCTCGGAAACGAAAAAAATGCGTTTTCTATTTTTTTTCCTTCCGCGAAAGGCACGGTTTTGCTTCTGAGAGAAGCACGGTTGTGCTTTCACGAGAGTCACGGTTGTGCCTCTCGGAAACAAAAAAAACACATTTTCTATTTTTTTTCTTCTGCGAGAAGCACGATTTTGCTTCTGCGAGAGGCACATTTGTGCTTTCACGAGAGGCGCGGCCGTGCCTCTCAGGAACGAAAAAAACCGTGTTTTCTGTTTTTTCTTTCTTTCACGAATGGCACGGTTTTGCTTCCGCGAGAGGCATGGTTGTGCTTTCGCGAGACGCACGGCCATGCCTCCTCGAAAACGAAAAAAACGTTTTCTCTTTTTTCCTTCCACGAGAGGTACGGTTTTGCTTCCATCAGAGGCACGGGCGTGCCTCTTTCGGAAAGGGAAAAACCCGTGCTTCCGGTTCGGTTTTTTCGTACGGTTTTTTTTGTGAAAAAATGTTTGTCAAAACCTATCAACAGGAGATCTAGTTTTGAAAATCTCGACGCGAGGAATCCAACAGTAAAAACGATTCAAGATTTTGGACGCACGACTAAAGAGATAAAACATTTTGAATAAACGAATCTAGAAAAAAAGAGAAACTTCCAGGTTGCGACAAGTGGCGCAATGCAGCACGCCACTTGTCGCAATCTAGGGAGGTGGGAATGATCTTTGCAAGGAGTACTCCTTAACTAGTGATTTCGCAAACTTGTTGGCATTTTTAATATTGGCCCACGCAGGGTCGTGTGGGCTGGAGGGGTCATCGGATACGACCGGACAAATTGTGTGATCGAGTGTTTATTAGAGCAACTCCAACGGGCCGACCCAAACGGACGGCGCATTTGTCCGCTTTTTGTCCGTTTGGGTCGGCCGCCCGCCCGGCGTCCGTCCAGTTTTGCATTTGGGTCGGTAATGCGCCCATTGCGCCGATCCATTTCATGCCCGCATTCAACTTTTAAATAAAAAGGGCCAGCGGCCGATCATGCTAGCGGCCATGTCTCATGCTGGCACCATGCCAGCGCCGACATACAATGCCGGCTTCAGAAAAAATCAGCACAATTCATGCTGGCGCACTCGCCAGCCGACCGACACACATGCCAGCACACAAAAAAGGGTGGGACTTGAGTTCGACCACGCCATCTCGGCTCCCGTGGTCATGCCGGCACACCTGCCGGCATACAAAAAAGATGGCCCTCGCCGCCATAGATCACTCGTCGGCGAACTTGAGCATGTCGGCCTGCATCTTCTCAAACCATGGCCTCTTCCTTGGCGACACGGTGTTGAGATCCACCTTCATGATCTCCACCCCGGTCATCATGCTCGCAAGTGCCACTTCTTTCGCCTTGGTCTTGGCGTTGGCGGCCTCGATCTCTAGCATCCTGGCTTGCTTCTCCGCCTCGAGCTCGAACATCTTGGCTTGCTTCTTGGCGTCAAGATCAAGCCTCCTCCTTTGGATCTCCATGAAAGCATCCATTTGCTCCGCCTTGAAACGCCGACGCTCCTCCTCCCTTGAGTCCTTCTTATTCATCATGCCGTCCACGCTTGCGATCAAGGCATTGGTGGCCGCATCTCGCTTGTCCTCCTTCTTGGAGTTGGTCTTCCCCCGCGGCCGTGCCGGCCCTCCCTCCCCAACATCCTCCACGGCTTTCTTTCCCCCGCGTGCCTTGAGTGCGGCATATTGTGCCTTGAACTTCTCTTCGTCCTTGATGACCCGATAGCAATGAGAGAGGTTGAAGCACTTGCCATTGTGTTGAACCTTGAATGCCTCCAAAGCTTGAAATGCCTACAAAATGTTTCCATGCAAGCATATGGGCAAGTGATAGCAAGGATGATCTTGATGACACAAAAGAGGGTGGCTTGTTTGTTATCATACCATGTCTTGCATGACAACGCCGTCATGGGGCGGGCCTTGACCCTCTCAAGGGTGGCGCAAAACTTGTTGCACTCTTGTTGGATCACCCTCCACCGCTTGAAAATGGAGACCCACCCACGCGTGCTCACAAATTGGTAAGGTGGAAACTTCTTGCACTCATGGAACTCTCGGTGCACACGAGTCCAAAAGGTCGAATGCTTTTGCTCAGCGCCCGTCTTTGGGTCTTGTCCAATGTCTCGCCAACACTCGCAAAGAAGCTTGTCCTCGGCCGCCGCGTACGCCTTCGTACGCTTCCACTTGCGCTTGGGCTTAGCACCGGTGGCTTGGTTGGCGAGCTCGTCCTCGAACAAAGGATCCACGTCGATGTCGCACTCGTCCTCTTCCTCTTGCCCGTAGTCGTCCGGGAACTCGTGGTCGAGGGGGAAGCCGTCCAGGTCGAGGCCGACCTGATCACGCATGAAGGTCGCCTGGTCGGGATCATAGCCAGCGGCCAGCGTGAACGCCCCGCGGCGGTCCTGGCTTTGTGTCTCGTCGGGATCGTAGCCAGCGCATGGCGCACCGGCCTCGAAGATGAGGTTTTGCATGAAGTCCTCATCGACGGCGGACAGCATTCCGTCGAACAGGTTACGGGCGTCTGGGAGCCCGCCGGCCGGCGTCTGCCGCGCGCGTTTCCTCGTGCCGCCGGACGACGAGCCACCAACCACCGGGGTGGCGTTCAGGTCGATGGGCGCTGGCGCAGGCGTGGAAGGCGCGACCACGCTCACGTCGGGTGAGCACTCCCCGGAGCGGCGGGAGGCCTGTGGGTAGACGCGGAAGCCGGGGACCGGGTTGCAAGCCGACGCGCGGGGTGACTCGGGCAGCACCAACCGAGAAAACGCCGACGAGCCGGTGCTGGCTGCGGCGACGACGGCTTGGACGAGGCTATGCTGGCTAGGGTTTACCCCTAGCATGTAGAGTGCCTCCCTCGTTGCCGCCGCGACGCGGGCATTGGTGAACTCCTGCTGCGCGGCGGCCTCATCCCTCGCGTCTGCAGCGTGCCTCCGATCCTTCCTCTTGGCCGACTCGCTTGCCCGCTGTTCGGGCGTCAGCGCCTTCTTTGGCTTGGTTGCGGCGGCGGTCTTGCGCGGGACACGAGGCTTGCCTTTCCCGGAGGGGGCGACGGCGCCGGACGAGGCGAGGGAGGCGAGGCCGGCGGCGGCGTCGAGGTCGAGGTCGAGATCGATGGCGTCGTCCATGGTTGGGGCGGGAGCGAGCGCGCGCGGACGGGAGCGTTTTTGGGAAAATGGGAGGAAAATGGTGGTGGCTGCCACCGACCAGCAGGCCCGGGGAGAAGAGTAGGCGCGCGCGCGTCCGTCTTGTATCCGCGCCAACGCAAATCAGACTCAAAATTAGGTCGGGAATGGATCACCCGCGGACGAAAAACGGACGCACATACGTTTGGGTCGGCGCGCTGGGCCACCACTTTTGTCCGTGCCAATCCAAACGGACGCGGGCGGATGAAATGGGTCGCCTCGTTGAAGTTGCTCTTATACCACACGAATGCGACGTCCACAGGTTCCTCCGCACCCTCGGCTTTCCCTCTCCGCACCCTCGGCCTTCCCTCCCCTCGCCAGTTTCCAGCCGCGAGCCAACCCGACGCGAGTGCGTTGCGAGGGAGAGAGAAGAGGGGACTAGCACCATGGGCGCCAGGCTGCTGCTCCTCTCCTTCGACTGCCCGGCCGTCGCTGGCGGGCGGCGGTCTCGTCTGTCTGCAGTGCCACGGATGTCTTCCGGTGCCCCCCTCGTGCGGCCCCCAGCCTCATCCGTCTGCGCGTTCGCGGTCACCGCCGCTAGAGGCAACCTGCCGCACCACACCTCCGTGGTTGTGGTGAGCCCAGCTCCGTTCCTTGCTTCTTGTGTTTATTGTTTTTCTGTATTTGCAATTGGATGCTGATAGTTGCCAGAAACGGTGATTCGGGGTTTATACGAGTCCTATGTTAAGACAGAGGGGTGGATGCGGGCATATTTGGATTATAGGTTCCAACTGATGTCGTTGCTATTGTATCATTTTAGCTGCCCGCAAAGATCTTTGTATGTGCCTGAGCTAATTAAAGTTGTTCTGCAGGATAACCTGGGAGTATGTGGACGATTTTTTTATCTCGGCTGACCCGTGTCTCTCATTACTTCTGTAGGACGGAGTTTATGCATATGCATGTCTGATTACAGTGCCATTAGGGAGATGCCCATGTTCTTGCATGTCAATCTGCATAGATAGATGTATGCCAAATTTTCCATTTGATCACCTGTGTGTGCGCTGCTCTGCTTTGGTGATGAGGGCATTCATGTTTCCAGTAAAAAAGCGTGTGCGCTGCGCTGCTTTGGTGATGAGGGCATTCATGTTTCTAGTAAAGAAATGGTTAAGGAAGTAGCCTGCTAGGATCCTTGTCGACGATTATGAATATCATTTGGGACGCATATGCCAGTTGAAGAATTAATGTACCGTTAGTGAAGCTCTAACATGTCCTTGTTTCTTTCCTACATGTGAAGATTGGAGTTGGTTGTGAGTTCACTCCTCACTCTCCATTCGTACTCACACATGGGGCAAACAAGCCTGCAAAAGTTCAATAGATGTACTGCAACCCTCCTATGGTTGTTTCAGTCACTGCCTGCAACCATCCTATGGTCGGGACAATTCACAGCTAAAAAAGCGCAGCCCGGTGCACGTAGCTCCCGCTTGCGCAGAGTTCGGGGAAGGGTCTGTCCACGTTGGGTCTTTTGTACACAGCTTTTCCCTACATTTCTGCAAGAGGCTGTTTCCAAGACTCGAACCCGTGATCTCATGGTCACAAGGCAACATATAGACAATTGAACTACACATTTTTAATGTTGCAAACGTATAAATAGAGCCTGTAATATAATTACAGAAGACACGGACCATACAATAATAGTATAGTTCACATGATGATGGCCTCCATCAACATAGCTAACCTCGCAGAAGAAGCATTAGCTATCCTACTACGAATATTGTTTATGCTATCTTCGTTCTCCTCCTCTTGAATGGGATCACTTGTGTTGATGCCACCCCCTGTCGTAGCACTGGAGGTAGATACTCATCAATCTGCAATCACACAACACCACCCATGTAACTAGTGCAGTTTTTAACTAACTCTCGTTAAACAAGCAAGTAGGTGCATGGTCACAATCTGCAATCTACAGCTTTTTCAACTTCCAAGTCCACAAAAGAAATACTCCAGGAATACATGTTCAGGAATACTGCAAAAAAGAAAAAGAAATGACCATCATCTCATCCCGGTGTGCAGTGGCGTTGCTGGGCCGCACACGCTGGCTGGGAGGGAGGTGTTGCTCGAGGGAGGAAGGCACGGCTGGAGCCGGAGGAACAGAGGCGCTGCTGGCCTGGGGGGTTCTGGCCAGCAGGGCCGGCAGAAGTGGCGGCGGATGCTAGGGAATTACTCGCTGTCGAGATCTGCTCCATCCGGCAGTGGCGGTGGCACGTCCACGGATGGCCGGCTGGAGGGGATGTGCTGCCACCGGTGAGCCAACCCTAGGCGGTGGCTGTTGCCTGTTCTTCTATGAGGGGAGCGAGGAGAGCTGTTCGGGAGTGAGGGGTTCTTCTCACGCGCACTGTGTAGCAGGAATAAGAACGAAACGTTTTTCCACTTACTAGTGGCAAAGGTGGGTAAATACCTTCCAACCCTTTGGTTCAGCTTCTAGCTTTTGGACCCAAAAGTTGGCAGCTGAAGCTGAACCAAACACAGCCTTATGCTTTTCCCTTCCATGCCATGTGGCCAACTCCTCAGCTTTTTTGTGGTTCCATAGCAACGCACTGGCACTGGGCTACTGTTCACAATAAACAGTCAAATGCTTCATCATCACATACAAATCGGGAGCAAAGTTGATGATTTTTTTCCCTTTGAAAGTACACAATGCTTTTAAGCTTTCATGAACGACTCCTGAGCCTCTCTTAAGTTCTGATAACTCTTATGCGTTGTTCTTCTATATCTATTTTGGGTGTATTAGTCCCGCTATTAGTTGTTTACATTTTATTCTTTAATGTTCTTTTGACAGCGTGATGTTTTCGTGTCACTGCACATTACAAAGTAATATAAATGTATAACAGATAGATCTGGTATTTACTGAGTTTATTCAGAGAACAAACAACATCACATTTGTTGAGCTGGGAAACATTCCAACAAATATCTTTTGCATGATGATGTATCTGGTTCTAATCTTTTGTGCAAGGATCATGGCTTTATTTAATGTATATTGGGCATAAAGCCATAAATTATTCGACGTTCTGTTTCCAGATGGAAGTATTTGTATGTAGTTTGTTTTAAGAATTCATCGATCTCAGGATTTCTTGCTTTCCAGGAGGGTGGTGGAGTTTACACTGTTGGTGACTTTATGACTAAAAGGGAACAACTCCATGTTGTGAAACCATCCACTTCAGTAGATGAAGGTGCTTTGTTTGCCTTGACGTTTTGCCTTGGTTTCTGTCATTAGAATATCACTCATTTCCTAATGGCAGCCTTTTCTAATTGAGCAGCTCTTGAGAGGCTGGTGGAGCATCGAATAACTGGCTTTCCTGTTACCGATGATCACTGGAATTTGGTAGGTGGTGCTATTATTTTACTGTAGCAAACAGACAGTTGATGATATGCAACCGGGGTTCCAAATGTATGTGTTTTGGAGTCAACATGTATGTGTTCTGGATGGGACTTAATTTCCTTGTTATCTACATGTCTTGACGTGCATATATTATATATCCTCATCAATATAGCATATATGGTGTGGACGATTCCTTCTCGTTTGCACCTGATGGTTTTATTTTGAAGTCTACCAGATTGCTATCCTCCCAAAATAAAGTGCTATTATTCATAAAAAAATTGACAATGGGCCGGAGGAACCACTTATCTTCTTTGGAAAGAGAGGGGCAACCTCCTCAACAAGCTTGTGCCTTAACTCTAGGCTACATGGATGTGCCTAGAAATAATATTATAGAAGCGAGCATATAATCCTTAGGAACCTTGGAAGCTTAAAGTCTTCGCAAGGCTCCTCGGAAGCTTAAAGTCTTCGCATGGCTACTTTTCAAAGACCACCTCAACACCAGGGTCAATCTTGCACACAAGCATATAATCGATTCAGATATATGCCCCAGGTGTGCTAGGCTACCCGAAGACTCCAGCCACCTCTTCATCACATGCCCTCTTGCTAATAGGATTTGGCAAAGATTTGGGCTCATGCCACACTCCGATGACATTGCAGATCTATGGGACGTCAATATCCCTCCTCACCTCTCCACCACGGCATGGCCCTCGGTCCTCTTGGCATTATTATGGATGATCTGGGCAGCACGTAATGACATGGTGTTTAGGACGGTGGATCAATGCTCTGTAATAACCCTTAGGAACCTTGTTTCTGTTTTGGATCTCTGGTCTCATCGTCTTGTGGAAACACAAGACAAGGAGGACGTCTTCTCGTGGCGCTCCTACCTCTGTGCACGTTGCACCGTGCCTATGTAATTCTGTAC